GTTAAATTTTTTTTATTAAATTTTTAACCCAAAAGTTGGGTTAGTCCGTATTTGACCCAAAGTTGGGTTGAAACAACCCAGCATTTTTTTAGAGTGTATGTTTCTCTTTGTTCTGGGCATTAATATTAATGCTTGTTGACAGGCTTCACGCTGCCCGATCAAAGTAAAGATGATCAGGTGAGTAATGCCAAAGACTGTGTACATCACACACTGACCTTGAAAAGGATAAAAAAAAATACCAAACTTCATATTATTTCGCAATGACCCAGCAGACATATAACAAGTGCACTTGTGTTGTCTTGATGCAGGATGACTGTATATATGAGAATGATTTTCCTAAGACAAACAGCACACAGATGAAACCTATCAACATGACTAGGACCAGACAAGTACAAAAGAGCCAATATGTAGTCTACAAGAATCCACATGAACTCTATGGAAATCTCTGATCATGTTAAGCAATGACATTCAGAGAACCAGTTAAACTTGATGGTTATAAGATCAAAATCACATGTACAGTAAAGGCATTCAAGAAGCTCAAATAAAAAAAAAATAAAAATAAATATCAATGTTTGAAGACATGCGTAGGAGACAGGTATTTTGTACTTCCTCATATGACCACAAGGGGCACTATGCCTGATTCTGTTTCTTTCCTTTTACCTTTTTTTTGCTAGATATTTGTTGTTCCACTTGTTGACAATTCCTGCTCCTGAGTTTATTTTGTAGAATCATATTTTGCATGGCTGTTTGGTTGTATCTTAGACAATGTTACTACTCATATCAATATGAAAACATTACCATTATGCCAATAAAATAAGACTTCATAATCATAGTCTCCACGTGTGTTTTTCTAAATAACTCTATTTACATGCATTAACCAAGTAGTATTGTGTTGCGCATTTCTCAATATAATCTTTAAAGCTTCTATGTGTAATTTTATGCTGAAAATAATTTTACTTCTACCAGAATAATATGCAGTATGTAATAATTAAGCTTCTAGACAGATGGCCCATCTCAAAATATACCTTTTTTTCACCAAAGAGGAGTGCTAAGTGCAAAATTAGCTCGGCACTGGTCAGTGGCCACTGTCTGTCTTGAACCAAGAACAATTCATGTCAATTACAGGACGTTGTAAGGTCCTAAAACCAAATGTTTTCAGATGGTTTCAGTGTGCTGACATATCAGCACATACAGACAGAAAAATTGCAGCTCAGACCAATGAAAAACATCAAGCATTACAGAGGAAGTGGTCATTGAATTCTGCAAGCATTTGTGGTATTTCAGGGCTGTGAAAGCACAAACATGCCCCTTTATCTCCATTATCTGGAGACTGAAAGGCTTCTCGGTTAAAGCAGCAAAAAGATCACACACAACAGGATTACTGCTCAAAATGAAGTTATTCTGTGTTGTTTGGCTCTGGATCTTGCTGTCAGGTCAGTTCTCTCCATATTCATGGCTGTCAGTTAACAGTGGGAGGAAATATTTTAGCTTTATGAGGTTCTCCTCTTTTTAAAGAGATAATTCACGCAAAAATTTAAATTGTCTTAATTCGCTGACCCTCATGTTTCTCAAACTGTATAACTTTGTTTTCCCTGCTCAATAAGAGATATTTTGAAAAATGGGTTTCAAAACAAGATTAGACCCCACTGACTTTTAATTTTTGTGTTAAACAAGAGAGATAGCTATTTTCATTTTTGGGTGAACTATAATTTCTATGAAGTTGCCAAAATTATGTTTCTTTAACAAATAGTGTTTCTGACGGGACAGTCACTACAGTGGTGCAACATATTAATCTGAATTAAGTCATCAATCAATGTGATGCAGAACTGAAGTCAACTTGAGTGAAATACTGCATTTTTTGCATGATTTCACTTAAATAGCTTTTTCTCTTTTTTTCCATCCAACAGGATTTGGGATTGCAATCACCCGAGAGATTAATACACGTGGATACAGTGGAAAACATGTTATAATTACATGTTCCCATAAAATGGCATTAAAAAACCAAGTATTTCTGCAGAGATCCATGCACATATAAAACTGGTCTTCTGGTATCATCTGATCAGTCACTTAATGAGAGATACAGACTGGATGATTTGGGAAATGGCACCTTCACTGTGAAAATCACTGATCTACAGGAGTCGGACTCTGGCATTTACTGGTGTGGAGTGAAGAGATCCATTAGAGACACATATGATAAAGTCACTCTGACAGTATCTAAAGGTAAGAATGACTGTTTTTCTCCAATGTAGTTCTCTTCTTTTTTTTTCTTGATGGTATTTACTTTTTTTCCCTCACACATAGATCCAAATGAAAGCATCACCACATCCACACAACCATTCCTGGATTTGCACACAACTACACCAGTAGCACATTCAGGATTTCCATCTACCAAAGCAAGCCTAATCTCCAGAGATTCAAGTCCTGATGTCCTCAAACTCTCAAACTCCGTAACAGGTAACAACTTGAGCCATATTTGAAACCATGTCCAGTACACATTTAGCAGCCTTTGGCAAGGCTAAAAAATGAACCAGAATGGCATCTGCCTCCAAAAATGTTTCAGATGCATACCTCATTTAACTCACTAAAAATCAGGTTGAATCAGGTGCTTTAAGTGGTGAGACATCTAAAACAGTCTGGTAGGTTCTGAGCTGAGAAACACTGATCTAAAACCAATTGACTAGGTTTTAACCCTGTTCATAGAGTATCCCAGAACTTCATATTTTAAATGCATTCACCTCATTTGCTGATTAGAAACGGTTCCATGAATTTAACTGTGTCAGCAAAGGAAACATCCACATTTTGCAATGATGGGTTACTACAAAGTTTGATAACCACTGATTTATATAATTTGATGCCTTCGAGTAGTTTCAAAGCAGACCTTTTTTTTTACAACAATTTTTTTCTCTCACTTCCTCAGTGTCTGCATACACTTCACAATATGCTGTCGGTGGTCTGGTCATAGCAGTGATATTATTTTTAGTTGGATTGGTCACTGTTCATCAGAGCAGAAAGAGAGTCAAGACATCAGAAAGTATGTGCATATGTATTTACACAGACTGCGCTAATATCAAAACTCAATGCCTGATTTGCATTAGCCAATACTCTTATCTCTTTTCACAATTTTCTTAGGTTGTGCAACAGCAACGCCTGCCAACAGAAACAATAAAAGCAAAGTTGAAGAGGTGAGTGATGCCAGTGATTCTGCAAGACTGACCACAGACAGGAATTTAACATCTTTACATCTGATCTTGTCAAATGTTTAATCTTTACATCATTTTTCAAAGGTCTGGCAGCCATATTAACTATGTGCTTTCATTTTTGCACAGAACAGCACAGAGATGAAATCTACAGACGAGACTGAAGTCAAGAAAAGCCAATCAGATTCAGTCTATCAGAATCTAAACCTCAGCACGGTCCAATCAAATGAAGTATATAAATCTCTGATTGCTGAATCAATTAATAAGGTTCAGAGTACCAGTCTCTAGACTAACAATCCCAGATCTCAAGTACATTTAATTCAACAAGCCTGTAAAATACAAGTTTATTATGCATAGAGAATTATTAAGTTAAGTAAAAAAAATAAAGAATCAAGTATTAAGATAAAAAATACCATATTTGGTGCGCCAAGTCATATTAAGGCACTATTTTTTAATTGTTGCTCTATGTATGCATTACGTGTGTTATGCCACTGTTTAATGTTAAACTGCTTACCAAGTTAAAAAGTGCATTAAAAAAAATTAATAAATAATAAAAAGTTATTATGTACCTAATGATCTCTCACTTCTTTTCATCACATACACAAATATAAACATGGCAATTTTATAGTGACCAAAAAAACTTTCTAAACATACGTTTAAAAGAAAAGAAAAGAAGTTTAACTCGATAATTAGCCCCTGGAACCTTCTGCAAACAACCAGAGAGACTAACACCATGTACACCAACAGCTAACAAAAAACAAAATATAGAGGAAAGTGAAAATGTGAGCACAGGCACATGAGGGAAGCGGGTAGTGAATGTTACGTGGCTTTCCAAGCTACTCTTTTGATAGCAGTCTTTTATCATGTAGTTTCTGGCCAAAAAATTAAAAACAGAGTTTGAAACTAATCTTATTTAAATCGACAGCATTAAAAATACATTTATACTAAATGACTACAAACTAGAAAGCTGGAGACGAAAACTTCATAAATGATAATGTGACATGCACTGGTGAATGACAAATTAAAATTCCGACAGCTCTAAAATAACAATATCATAGTTTAATCAATGTGTATTTGGGTAAAGACATGGCTTGGAAGATGGATTTTTCTTTGCGCTCTCTCATTAATAACATTTTGTAATTCTTTGAAATCAATGAGAGTTAGTTTTGAAATGTTCTGCTGTAATATGACAACCTAAAAACGCCAGGCAAGGATTTTAATTCCTATGAAGCCTCCTAACAAACCCATTCACAGTAACACTTTACAAAACTATTGCTGTGTGCACGCAACACAACATTATTAACAACACTGTTGAAAAACAACGCTCTAGCATTTTGTCATGCTACACCACTATTTGTTGGAAAAAGTAGCATTGCTAGAAAAAATACACTATTTGGAGAACAGGTTTTAATATTCCCACTACTTCCAAACCACTGAAATATCATTCTGACTAGTGTACAAGCAGCACATGTCTCTCTGAAAGGGTTATTTCACACGGGCCTAGAATCAGACTGCACACCTCAAACCTTGACAGGCAGAAATAACCTGACCCTGGTCCTGTGTGAAAGGGGAAAGTCCATTCAAACCAAAAGTTAATCAAGAGGAAGTGGTCGGGTTCTGAATATGAGTGTGTGGGTGTCTAGTTTGCATGTGAGAAAGAGAGCACAGGAGGGCATAGGCATACATGTTTACTACTGTGCTTAATGGCATAACAGAGCTCCAACATTGCCAAAAGTCATTCAATATCAGAGCACAGAAAACGAAAACTGGAATAGACCAGACATAATAGGATCACTATTCAAAATGAAGTTCATCTGTGCTCTCTGGCTTTGGATGTTGCTGTCAGGTAAGTTCTTTATAGATGTTTGATAGAGACTCTCATGTATATGAGAAACTTTCAGGTTGCTGAGCATGATGAAAACAAAGAAATAAATGAATTAAAAAAACAGCATGCAAGCTTTCCCACAGACCTCTTAAAGCCTTCATTTTCTTCAGGGTCATATTAAGGCTTTTCCCAGATAATTCCGGGTTATCGTGCTATTAGAGTATTAAAGGCTAATTTTTAAACTGGAGTAAAGCAACATTTCACACTGGTAACTTTGAAAGAGGTTTAGGGTTGCCTTTAATTAGTCAGTGGTATGAAGCATGAAATCCTGAATGAAATGCTAAAATGTTACTGCGATTAAGTACTTTTATGTAAAACACTTTGAATTACCATTGTGTATGAAATGTGCAATATAAATAAATTTGCCTTGCCTTGCCTTACTCTGAAAAACATTTGGTGTGGAAACAATTTTCACTCAGAAATTGCTAGTAAATATCACAAACAGCTACAGGTATGATTTATTTGTAACCTTGTGAAACAGCAAGTAACACATTGAATAAAACAACATTTTGAAGTAGAAAAAACGACTATTTCGTAGTAGCAGTAATAAAATACTTTTATTTTATTTATAAAATGTACTCCAATAATCTTTTATATATATATATATATATGTATACATTTGTTTTATTTACTTCAACAAACTTTTACGCACTTGGTTTAATTTCAGTGCCTGAAATTGAACAGTGATTAAATGGTAATGCATTTAGTGAAGTGACGTGTGGCCAGATATGGTGACCCATACTCGGAATTTGTGCTCTGCATTTAACCCATCCAAGTGCACACACACACCCCATGAACACACACCCGGAGCAGCATTTAATAGGATGAAGAAAAGACCATATTGTTTGTTTGCTTCTTTTTGCTTCAAGTATCAATTTACGATACTTGCAACAAAAATTGGCATGACAACATTTAATTATTAAAACAAGCTGCATCGCAATCAATGTTATTGACCTAATAAACACGCAAATAATAATGTTAAAAAGATAAAAAAATAATGGGTCCAGGTTAACAATTGTAAGTGTTAAAAACCCAAATGAAGCAATGGGTAAAATATAAAAACAGATATAACATCTAGATGATTTTTCAGAAGAACATACAGAGAAATATCATACATATATACGAGTGTTAGCCAGACCTCTCTGTCCAAATAATTTCTCCACTGATTGAATCTGTCTGCTTACATTTGTGCTATAAATTACACATTTATAGGAAATAAGTACAGTGGTTGTAAAATATTCACACTTCCTACAAGTTGTCAGACCATAAGTACAGTAAGTGTAACAGTAAGTTACTTTTGCAAATGAATAACTGAAACCAAAGAGTCTTGAAGAGGAACTGACGGTACAAACATATTTCATCTAACAGAATTTAATTCAACTACTGGCGAAATTTCTAGTCAAGGACACAGTGAAGGAAGCATCACAATTACATGTTCCCACGGCTGGGCTTCAACCAATATAAAGTATTTCTGCAGAGATCCATGTAAAGACATTAAAGATATTTTAGTGAAATCTGACCAGTCACCTAGAGGAAGATACACACTGAAGGATTCTAGAGAAGGAACCTTCACTGTGAACATCACTGATCTACAGGAGTCAGACTCTGGGATTTACTGGTGCGGAGTGGAGAGATTTGGTTTCGACTCATTTAAGAAAGTCAGACTGACAGTATTTAAAGGTAAGAATGATGAGCAATATTATGCATTTCATTACACTGCCAGACTATTAATATGATATAGCAATATTGCCTGTGAGACAAAGTAATGAAGGGTTGCAGTTCTACCATATTGTTTCTTATTAAATGGCCAAATAAGAACTGTTATACAGCTATTCTTTAGGCTGACCCCAGAAATACAGACATGTCTGAAATTTTTCTAAACCTTACAAATAGCCAACACTGGAAACATGGAGGAAGTGACTCATCAGAGGACGATGGAAACGCAAACAAATCCTGGGACAAGCGTTGAAATGCACTTGACTATACAAAGACACTCAGTTTTCGTATCTTCAACCACTAAGGACAGCACACTCTCACTGACATCAGCAGGTAGTCAAACCTCTGATTTTAATGCCTGCATTTCTATCGTAAGGGTTAACTGATGTTATGTCCTCCTTTTGAAGGTTTTGTCAAAGCATCTGGTCCAGCTGGCGAAAAAGCAGGCGAGTTACAACTCCTTTATAGATATGCTGACATCTTACATATATTACGTGACACAAATCAAAAACAGTCTGACCTAAATGGTCTCTATATAATATACAGGTGCTGAACACACAAACTCATCCTCATCTGCCCATATATTCCCAGTGCCCTTATATTACATGCCTTATGCTGCTGGTGGTTTGGCCGTCATGGTGATCATATGCGCAGTTGGACTGGTCACTGTTTGTCAGTGCAGAAAGCGAGTCAAGAAATCAAGTGTGTGAACATTTAAATACTACATGCCCCCAAAAAAACACTTTTTTTTATATTAGAAAATTTTGTTGCGAAGTTTACTTTTTTAAAATCTGTATTCTTCACTTTATTTCAGGATGTGTTATTGCAAGATCTATATACAATTCCCATCACAGCGAGGAGGTGAGTGGAGCATCATTATAAGATCTGAGCTGCCACAATCACACAACTTTTGCTTACTTTATAAGTCACTTCAACAGTTTATTAGCAACAGAATGATGCTCTGTCTTTAATTTAGGCTGATGCTGTTTATCAGAATGCACCTGATGACGGACCCTACGCCACCATAAAGAAATCCAGTACCAAGTCTAAGGACGAGAGCCAATCAGACCCAATCTATCAGAACCTACACTTCAACACTACCCAGGGAGAAACTATCTATGGCAATCTATAGGAAATATACAATCTACTATCCTCAATCTCAAATACATGTTCTGCATGACAAGCATCAAACAAGTTTGTCTGGAAAATTTGTCCGGACATCAACACCATTTCTGAACAGTATATGGCAAAACATGTCACTTGGCAATATAATCACACCATTATTTGAGTAAATGAATATCCCTTTTGCATGTAAAGTTTGCATGTGAAACAACAATGACGGGTTGAAATACTACTGGGTTGTTTCATATTAAAATGGACAAATGTGTAGGGCTATTAAATTATTTAGCAAATACAACTAACTCTTCCTTTAATGAATCCCTAGACTAGCCTGTGGTTAGTGTAAAAAACTGAATATGAGTATGTGAAAACACTGAATTTGTTAAATTAAAAATGATGTTGTCTTCGTCAATCAGACTTATCTGCTCAGACAGTTTTAAGTTCTGTGCTCAGTTCACACACCATTTTGAACAACTGACACCAGAGAAGCTGATGTGTCTTTGAAATGTCTCTATAGAGATCTGTTGAGTTTTCTCTAAAACATCCAAATGAACAACACATGGAAGTGATGAGTTGTCCCACGAGTGCCTGTTTAACCTGTACTTGTATCTCTTACACTTGCCACGTCATGATAATAAAACTGACCAACCAAAAACATGTTCCTGCCAGAGCTGTTAAATCTAAAGACTCATGCACTGAATTGAAGCAGTTCCTGACTTTAAAACAAGAAGACTCAAATTTTGTTTTGTGTGTACATTGTCCACTCACCACTATATTAGTTGCACATTCCTGAGAGTTATCCAGATCTAGATTGGGTGTAGCACATTGTTATTCAACATGAATTCCTAATACATCCTTAGTATGTATAAAGTGATATGACCCGAAATTATTTGTCGAAGGGGCAATACTCCTTGAGTAGAGCTTAAGTTATGGTTACGTATTCTTAGTTAGTTACTGTAATGTATTCTAGACTAGGGCTGCACGATAAATCGAAATGGAATCAAGATCACGATTCGACAGAAGCTGCGATTGTCATGCGTGCATCTTTCCGTGAAGCACGGTTCTGTGATCAGTAGTAAATCTCCATCCAAAGGCCAGAGGGCGCTCTCACGCTGAAACTCCAAATACGCCTCGCAGAAGAAACCTAGAAACCCGCTGCAGCTGAATAAACAGAAGATCCAACTGCTTTCATTGATTCAACGTGACTAATAAACACACGACTACGGCAATATACGGTTTATCGGAGTTCTTATTATTATAATTTTCCTTAAAATAAAGTATATTTATAATGCAAGGCCTTTATCACTGCTTAAATACTATGAAATATGTTGTGTGCCTTATTCTGTGTAAGAAGCCACATCATCTCACAGAAGGATTTATTTCAAACACTCGACTGACGTTATGAAGTGAGTTTGGAGTAAAAAATATGTTATTAAATGTGGTATTTTCACATGCTTTCAGATGGAGCAGCATTTACTTCACAGAGCCGTAGTTCACTGAGAAATTATGCAAACAGCTGTCATTATCACGAACGATTTCTTAGATTTCATATTTGTGCAATAAAATCGCCTACGATTTTTTTTTGCGTAACTTGTCAGTGAACCACAGCTATGTGTAGTAAATGCTGCTCCATCTGAAAGCACGTGATGATGATTTCCTGCTGATTACAGAACCAGCTTTTTTTAACAAAATGCGCATGACAACCGCATTCGATTAATCGTGCATCCCTATGCTAGACCCAGACTCTTTTCATCAGGCTTCACGTAGGTCTCCACCATCATGGCAACAATAACAATTCCCAACATATCACCAATCAATAGCCTGCATTCAAACCAACCATTCAAACATGGTTATTCATCAGCAACTTACAGAATTTATAGAAAACAAGGACAGTAGTGCAAGCCACATAAAAGATTGGAATATAATTGAAGTAGGACTCTCCATCAATGTAAACATGATGTAGACTCGTCCACTGGCGATTAATTCCATGTATGCTATCATCTATGCCAGGGGTAGGCAAGTTCGGTCCTAGAGAGCCGCAGTCCTGCAGAGTTCAGCTCCAACCCTAATCAGACACACCTGAACAATGTCTGAATGTCTTCAGGATCACTAAGGCTATAGGCAGGTGAGTTTTGTTTTCAGGGTTGGAGCTGAACTCTGCAGGACTGCGGCTCTCTAGGACCGAACTTGCCTACCCCTGGTCTATGCGACACGTTTCAACTATTCCACTATTTATTTGTTTTCTTTTTTACAACTGAAATTATCTATTAAAAATCATTTTCCTCCTCACAGCGATGAGAAAAAGCTTTAAGGTGCAAGAGTTTTATTAAATGCCTATGGGCCGTTCACACTGACAGAGGTTTGCAGCAATCAAACAACATTTCATGAATTTTCAATAAAGGTTTGATAAGTGCTTCACTGGTGCTGTTCATGAGTGTAAACTTGTGGCTGATCCCAACTTTTTTCCATAAAAATCCTTCATAGTTTTATCTTCTGTGACCAAAATATGTTCACTTAAAACCATTTTTTCCATTTAGTAATGTTGATGACTTTGTATTTTAAATTAAAATACAAAAAACACTATGTCGCCTCGTCAGCTGATTAACTTACCTCAGCATTTAATGCTCGACATAACATTCACATTACTCACAATTCCGTGATGAAACTTAAGTAACATACATTTTTAGATGATATTAAACAACATCCGAAATTATACTGTGTTTTACCGGTCATTTTAAACGGGAAAAAAACAGCAAATCTCGCTTTCTCACGCCGGTGAGTTGTAGAAAGACATTTGCACGCTTTTAAGCAGCTCGAGTTGTGGTTGAGTTTAGTACAGCAGTCTCACTGTTGAGTTTTGACGGCTATAATACGATAAGAGAAGATTGGTTATGAGTATGACTAAGTTTTTTGTTTTTATTATGAAATAAAATAAAAACATTTGCATATCAAATCGATCCAGTTTTCTTTTCAGAGTACACTGGGCTTAGTTTTTTTTTTTGCTTTAGTATTATTATAGTAGGTTACATTTTTTAACTATTTACACTCCCATGAGAAGTCATATTAACTGCAGTCTTAAATACAAGGGATGACTATGAAATGTATCTTTTTATTAGCACATGAAATACAGCAATACATTCTGTAAAGGTGATATTTGCCTACAGCTGAGCAGGTGTCACCGCTCTCACCATGTCTGACATGTCTTCATGTTCCTGCAGTGCTCCCGTGTTGATTTAAGTACAGGTAAATAAAAGCTTATGTATGTTACTTTACAAAAAAAAAAAAAGTAAAGCGCTTGTGTATTTTACTTAGCTTTATGTGCGACTTGAATGAGAAACAAAATGTCAAAACATATGCAGGACACAAGATGCCTCCCTTGAACCTATGATCAGATGGTACATGTACAACACTCTGTGTCTGGCATTTGTTTGCCAAGTTTGCTTTGGTTTACATGGGGGTGCAATGCATTTAACTAATTTGGAGAAGCAGATGCTTAATAACGCACACTCAAAAATTATTTAAAAAAATGCAAATAATAAAGCAAGAAAACCATTTCTTATTATGGTCTGGTTAGATATGTTTTAAGACGCAGTCCCACGGTTAAGCAGATATTTTGATGCTGCTGTGAATCACAGACAAATCATTCTCTTGATCCACCATAGATCTGTAAACAGAAAACATGTGATCAACACAGCGCACACAACTGAAGTTGAGAAGATGTTTTAGAACTGTAATGCCTGTAGAAACAGAACTACACCGCGTAAACTGAGATCTTATTTTAAATAAAGGCCACACAAGGTCATAAAGGTAAAGACAGAAATAATAATGTCTCACTTGGCTTCAGTAGCAGGTTGGCGAACTGTAATGCTGGCATACTGGATCTCATCCTCTTCGGGTTTCTTTGTGTCTTTATTTTTTTTGCGACACTGGACAGAAGCATAGAGTATCTTGTCATCATCTCCAGATTCAGGGGCATTTCCAGCAGATGTCTGCAATAGAGTTAGTGTGGCATAACATTTATTTTAACTTCTTTTATAAATTTATAGCAATCCTCAAAATAAATAGAAAATGAATACAAATCAGCTCCCCACATCTGATTTAAAAAGATCATAATATGCAACATATCAGTTCACATGCAGGCCCATGAAATGACTACAGATCAACAGCAACTTCTATTGAGAAAGATGTCTGCCATGTGCAGTTTTTTACTGTGATGAAGAGTCTGCCCTTTTTTTGGAGTATAGATACATCTCTACTGTCTATGAAATATGACCAGTGATATATGAAGTTTTTAACTTTGACTTACCTTTTTTTGCTCAATGTCCTGAGAGCAATTTAAATGGTTGTCAGTGTCCTGAGAGTCATTATTTTTTATCTTCTTCCTGTTTTTAAAGTATGAGCAATCAGCCATCAATGTTTACATTATATAGTACATTATTAGAAGTACATTATGGATACAGTTAAAAATTTACAATGTCACATAATTAGTTTTTTCTAATATTCTCTGCCCAGAATTGAAAATATCTACAAAACATATTTCAGGTAGGATTTACTGACGTCACTGACCTTTTGTGCATAATGATGATGATGATGATGATGATGATGATGAGAAAAAATAGCCCAAATCCAGCTGCAATTACAGTGGCATATGCACCAATGATATGCATGATATTCCAAACACCTAAGTGGAAAGGCAATGACAAAGTAGTTTATTTTTTATTAAAGTCTTTAAACATAGATGACAGATGTAGTTAGGGAGTGAATAGACTTCACCCTTAATACATTTAAACTTGATCAGCACAAGAGTGTCTGTTTATAGAAAATACCTTTAACAGAGACTGAAACAGACTCTGATCTCTGAGATCCATGTTGATTCTTAGCCTCACAATAGTAGCGTCCACTGTGACTGGAGTTAAAGCTGGAGATGCTGAAACTCTGTCCAGATCCAACAGCTGAGCTTTGATTCTCCTTAAACCACCTGAAGTTCAGAGCAGGAGGGTTTGCGTCACTGCTGCAGCTCAGAGTCACTGAATCTCCCTCCACTATTTCACCAGATCCAGTTATGGACACTGAGACATTCTGTGGAGGATCTAAAAGTGTACAGATGATTTGGAGTCATTACTGATCAGAAATCATTTCAAGGTGCCAGTATTGGCCACAAAACAAAGGTTTGGAACTAGATCTTAAATGTTATTGTAAGCATATCTTATCTATCTTCAGCAACATGTCCTGATTACACTATTAAGTCAAATAGCTGGAGAAAGCCGCATACTTCTATTTTCAAAACAACAAAGAAGTCAAAATACATGGCTTACTTTGAATGGCTGTCATGCTCTTTGCAGTCAGATGGTGTAGTTACAGCATCGACCAGCAGAGGGCTGAAGAGGCCATGCTGACCAGCCAAACCTTTCAGCCATTGGTCTGACAGGCAGAGAGTGACTAAATATCTACTCACACATGACAGTGATGCTGACAGCAGGAGAGGGCAGATGTTCATGTCCTCTGACGGCGCAGCTGTAACGGCCAGAATCACTGCGCTCTGACTGAAGCTGGAGTGTTTTGCTGTGGATCTTTAAAGCCTCTCCATTTTTGTACCAGATGAATGCTTCTGTCAGACTGCATGTGGTTTCACAGATCAGACCGACTGTTTGTTTCTCCAGCACCGGCTGTGGTGCCTTTACCTGAAGAACTGGAGAAAACACGTCTAATGTCTGATATTTTGTACAAATAATAATAATTTGGCAAAAGTAGAGATCTACACTTTCAAACAGTCATAAAGCTACTGTAAGAATTGTTTTTGTTTTTTGTCAAATAAATTATGGAAATAAAGGATAGAAATGGATTACCAGAAACATTAAGATGAATTCCTTCTTTACCAATCCATTTTTTTGTTTCAGTTACTAATCTGAAACAATACTCTCTCTCATCATTTTCAGTGATGTTGTGCAGTCTGAGGATGGCAGTTTTGCTTTTTCTGTCTTCAATGTATTCAACCCTGTCTTTATACTCGGGGTATTCTTTTAAACTTTTGATCTCTGTCTTCTGTTTCTCACACATTATCCAAAGTGTATCTTTCAATGTAAGCTGCTCAGGGTATCTGTATGAGCATGACATGTTTACTGTGGATCCTTTAAGAGCACATATTGATTTAGTCTCATAATCCACATTCCAGACTTCTCCTAAATCTCCTGTAACACAGAACACAGAGCAGCAAAGCTTGACTTATTTGTACATGTAGCTGAATAAAGTCTTTTGCTAGACGGATGACATGCACAGTGTGAAAAGTGTCAAATGTCCCGCAGAAGGGTGTTGCAGAAAAGCAGAAATGTGCAAACTGAACACATCAGCCTTTTAAAGGTGCTGAATTTAAAGCGATTTCCAAGTAGGTATAACTGCAGGCTGGAGCAGTGGGGTTGGTGAAAGATTAGGGTGTGCTGAAAGGTAAGGGGCGTGGATAAAGGTCTTTCTAATTGGTTAGGGTTCAATTTCTGTTGTAGCATTCAGATAGTTTATGTATGGTAAAAAATTATAATAATTATAATGTATACACACAATTATAGTTATAACTCACCAGAGGCCATCAGCAGAAAGATTAGAGGAAAAAGAAGGATTGTTCTGACCTTCATCACCAATCATCAAAGACCTAATACAGAAGATTACAGTTTAGTGTTTATACTAACATTCACATCTACATATCATCAAATAATCCCAAAAGTATTCATAATCCTATACTCTGATTCTTACTGGTGTTAAATCAATAGAAATAAAGCTTGAAAGCTGAAAAGGTTTGTTATCCCCTTTGTTTAGTTCAAAGTAACAGTTCTGCTTCTCAGAAACTGTCCTGCTGACTCATTAACACCCAAACCTCTGTTAAAATTGTGAGAGACGTGAAGGTGTTAAAACTGTTTGGTCACAGCATGTCTTAACAAGTCATATTCATCACAGTATTCAATGCCTACAAGTTTGCAAATTAAACAATTTGGTGTCTCCTGAACTTATTCATCAAACTTAATAAAGAAGCGTCCTCTTTTATGCACCCATGGTGATGTTTTACATGTTTTTGATCTGAACATCATGTGATTAGTGTTTTTTACGTAGTTACGTTCTGGATGCCATGATGTTTTTAAAGAAACAATATTTTATCACAGAATTTGTGACCCTGGAACACAAAACCAGTCATAAGGGTAAAAATTTTTTAAATTGAGATTTATACATTATCTGAAAGCTTTGTTAGGAGGACAATATTTGGCTGAGATACAACTATTTGAAAATCTGGAATCTGAGGGTGCAAAAAAATCAAAATATTGAGAAAATCATCTTTAAAGTTGTCCAAATGAAGTTCTTAGCAATGCATATTACTAATCAAAAATTAAGTTTTGATATATTTACAGTAGGAAATTTACAAAATATCTTCATGGAACATGATCTTTACTTAATATCCTAATGATTTTTGGCATAAAAGAAAAATCAATAATTTTGACTCATACAATGTATTTTCACATAACCACTTCGGGAGTGCATTATTTCTCTAATAATTTTATCGGCCTGGAGTCACAATCACACATCAGTTGTTCAGATGATTTGTTTCAAGACATTTGACATGTTTCTGTCCTGAAGTGTGTTGAACTAGCTCATTTTTACACACCTCATCACAAACCTTCTGTTGCAAATTCAAAAACGTCGTTTTAGAGCTAATAACAGAGGCTTGAGCCATTGATATGCAGGCTAACGCAGTTATTAATGCAGTCTAATGCAGTTATTAGAGAGAGAGAGCAAAAGAGAGAGAGGGAGAGAGATTTTAAGTGCGTGTGAATATTTGCGTCTGTGCGTCTCTCAGCAGTATTATATAAAATATTATATATCTCTTCATTGTGTTTGGGCCCCCCTGGACAAGCAAGCATAGGCACGTGCCTAGAATGCTTATGCGTAAATCCGGCCCTGCCTGTATGGTCTAACCTACTCAAAGCTCAACTATTAGAACAGCCCACCCATAAACACAGATATTTAGGCCCAAAAGCTAACATCAGTTTCTTCTCTTTCACATCTCTACATTTTGCAAACTCTTTATCAAATAAACTCTCATACCTTGTTCGCAGTAGCTTTCTTCTCCGGTGCACAAAGAGCAAATGGTGAGTTTGAAGACAGAACAGACGTGTTAAACAGAATTGGCAGTGGGCAAAACACTTCCTCTTTTTATGCAAAAGATCTTATTATTCCTTGTTATGATGTTAATTTCTCTGTAGAATTTAAATCAAAAGTGGAAAGAGTTGGTCAAAGACACACAATACAATCTGACCACCAAACGCAACTTTTAGACAGAGATTTTATTTTTTAGCTCATCTGTCATGGAATCAGAAGCCAGGGCTGCCAACTCTCACGCATTCAGCGCCAGACCGAGCCAATCACAGACATTTCTGTTGATTTCTTGAACACATCTGATTGGCCACTGCATTCACGTTAGTCAGAATTTACTCACCGCTCAAAACACAAGAGTTCTGCATGCTCGCGAATCCTTTCACAATGTAAATAAGAGGTTCGTGTAGAGCTTCATTGATTATAGCAGAACTTTGTGAGATCGGGATGAACTGAAGTGAGTGACAGCTTTTTAGTGATTATAAAGGAAGCACTCTATGTGCACGTCACTAATCCATTCAGAATTTGGGTAGCACTTTATTTTACAGTCCTGTTCCTCATGTACATACTATATACTTATTATAGTAATTACAATAACTATGTAATAACTAGGTACTAACCCTGAACCTACCCCTAACCCTAACCCATGTAGTTACCTTGTATTTCCAGAACTTTCTTAGGTAAGTAAACTGTAAGTACACGTATTGTAAAATAAAGTGCAACCAGAATTTGAATAAAAATCTAAATCTCTCATCTCTTATATAAAATGTGAGATTTCACTTTCGAAATGGCAATAATTGACAAATGATAACCGCAGCAATGGTAAAAATATAGTTTGTCAAAACAGATGCACATTAAGCAATGTAATCCAGGATCAGGAAACAGTCCTCCATAAAATGCGCTGCACACATCTGAATATTTGGGTTGAAGTTTTCTGGAGCAGTGTTGCAAATACAACTTAACCACTGATTTCTATTCGTGTCCATTTTTGGAAGGCCAAACAAAGTAGTTTCGCTTTCACAACAAAACACAGCGTTGAACTGCAGTACGTATTCTCATTGAGATCAAAAGTGATTTGTTTTGCAGCATTAGTTTACATAATTTTATGATAAAAACACAGTACCAGTCATCATACCGTTAACTACTAGGTATAGCTATAGATAAAAGTTTTGGTATTTTTTACAAAACAACCATCTTTGGCAGCATTCCTGCAAAAGCACAGAATTGTGGGATATCATAAGCAGTGAAGGATACATCCAAAAGTTGATCCGATGTCGGTATCTCAGGCATATTCTAGAGATGAACTGAACATATTATATCAAAAATAAGATCTTATGTTCATGTAACGTGTATAAATACTGCAATAGCAGATTAAAATAATGGACCAATATCAGAAGACTAAATTCAGCTCAAGGAGGAAAATGGTGTGTTCAATGAGACAGACACAAAATTGCAATACTCAGTGGTGAAGTATATTACAGTGAAATAATTTGACAACATTTACATATACACATAGATAGTATTGAGTTCAAAATGATTCTTGAACCATTCAAGTGTCCTCAGAATGTATACATGGATTGAAGAATTTAAGTGCTGCAACTGTTCATATATCACCCACGCAATAAGCAACGTCCGACAATCAAAGAGAGTTCAAGAAAGATCAGTCCATAAAGCAGAAATGAATGTGCATGAAGATATGTAATAAGGATGTGCAAGGGTGTATAATGGTATGCGAGGGGAGCGACTGCAGCGCCTCCTACCACACCGGCAGATGCTTGCACTCCCAGTCTTTGGTTCAGGGCCTAGTAGCTCGCCATCAATACAAAAAACCTGGCCTGTAAACAGGACCAAGCAATAAATAACACTTTACGTAAATCACATAATCATACAATATCATAATGTTATCATATCATCATATTCCATCATTATCATGTACATGATTCAAATTTATCCTGCATATAGCAATATAATTCAACAATCGACAAGAGTACTCTGTAATTAACATATAAACAGTTTCAACCTACATCTCAGTATTAAATAGTAAACCATTTCATAATCAATAACATCAATATTGCTATAAATGTCAATAGTAGTGCATTGTTCATATAAAATCGATATAATTAAACACATAATATGATCTGAGTCAATACAATAACAACCACAGCCAGCACCGGCTAACAGATCCATATGCCATACACAAAGGCGCTAACATTAGCACCGTATAATACAACCAATGACACTCACCAGTTCTCGTATCATTAAGTCACTCAACACAGCACAGTCTTAACCGAAATGGAGACATCTAAAAGAAAATTGGCAGGCATAACAATTCAAAACCGGCAGTCTAATGAATCAATATAATACATTTACAGGGTTAACCGCCTACCTTCAGCAGCACAACACATCAACTCCCACACACACACCCAAACAATAGCGCGCAGCCATATTTAAAGGGAAATGACACGGCATCTATGCAATACTTGCATAAATCTCGCGATAGCGTGAACAGTAGGGAGTCGTGAGAAGAGAAAATAAAAGCAGGAAAACCAGGGTTACACATACTATAGAGAATATCATCATATTCCATCATTATCATGTACATGATTCAAATTTATCCTGCATATAGCAATATAATTCAACAATCGACAAGAGTACTCTGTAATTAACATATAAACAGTTTCAACCTACATCTCAGTATTAAATAGTAAACCATTTCATAATCAATAACATCAATATTGCTATAAATGTCAATAGTAGTGCATTGTTCATATAAAATCGATATAATTAAACACATAATATGATCTGAGTCAATACAATAACAACCACAGCCAGCACCGGCTAACAGATCCATATGCCATACACAAAGGCGCTAACATTAGCACCGTATAATACAACCAATGACACTCACCAGTTCTCGTATCATTAAGTCACTCAACACAGCACAGTCTTAACCAAAATGGAGAAAATTGGCAGGCATAATTCAAAACCGGCAGTCTAATGAATCAATATAATACATTTACAGGGTTAACCGCCTACCTGCAGCAGCACAAGACATCGACTCTCTCACACACACACACACACACACACACACACACACACACACAATAGCGCGCCGCCATATTTAAAGGGAAATGATGCGACCTCTATGCAATACTTGCATAAATCTCGCGATAGCGTGAACAGTAGGGAGTCGTGAGAAGAGAAAGTAAAAGCAGGAAAACCAGGGTTACATTCCTCCTCGCACTCTCAGAAAAAAAGGTACAAAAGCTGTCACAAATAATATGGAGTATAAAGTCTCATACCTCAGCTTTCTTCACCAGCACCCAATAAAGTGCAAATGGTGCATGTTAAGACTGATAACACTTCCTGTTTCTATGCAAATGCATCTCAAATTATGAGGTAAAAAACATTGTCATATACTTAAGAAGTTACCTGCTTTAAATGGCCTTTAAATATAATAATTTTGCGTTTTCAATCAGCAAGTCAAATCCAAAAACATTGATACATATTTCTGGAGAATGGGGTTAGTTGTCACACTCTTTAGTTTTAGTATTATTATGGTAGGTTTATTTTTCACAAATATTTTTAGCAATTTACTAAACGTGTGAGAAGTACGTGATATCCACGACCCAGTATTAAATTCAAGGGAAGACTCTGAAATCACTGAAGTGTTTGTACCTTTTTTTTAGCACATGAAATATGGCAATACATTCTGAAAAGGTGAGTTTTTCCCACAGAGCCGGTGTCAGGACTCTCACCATGATCACCATGTCTGACGTCTTCATGTTCCTGCAGTGCTCATGGTGTTGATTTAGACACACATAAATAAAAGCTTGTGTATCTTACTTTTCAAAATTACATTTAAGCTGCATCTTGAATGAGAAGCAAAATGGCAAAACCTTTAAATGACATTATAAAAAAAATATAGAAAAAGAGAGAGAGAGAGAGAGAGAGAGAGAGAGAGAGAGAGAGAGAGAGAGAGATCACAGATGCCTCACACTACATGGACCACACTATGAGTTTGCTTGTTTAGTTGGCTTTGGTTTACAAGAGATGTAAGGCATCAGAGTTTTAACTAAGATGGTGCCACATATGCTTAAACAACGCACACTCAAAAACCTGATTCAATGAAACAAAAAATACCAAAGCAAGAAAAAGTCTTATGATTGTCTGGATCTACATAGATCAGTCTAGATCATCTGACTCTGCTGTAAATCACAGATAAATCCATCTCTTGGCTTGCAGCAGATCTGCAAAAATGACAAATACATAAATGAGAGTGAGATCATCACAGAGTATGAATCTTGATGA